TTTTCTGTGATTTGGAGGATGGGGAAGAGCTTCCTCCGGGCAGAAATGATTCGGCTGCGTTGCGTTAGGGGTGAGCGGGAGCGGCTCGGTTTCGCTGCTTACAGAGAGAAAAATCTGCAAAGCTTTTCTTCCTACTCGCGCTGAACTCGAGATTTCATAATGAACCTTTGCAAACCTTTCTGGCCAGACTTTCCCCCGAAATGCTGCAATCACTGAATTCATGGAAAGGAAATTATCCTTCCTTTGAGGTGACAAAGTCCAGCCTTGCTGAAGTGTCAGGTGAAAAGGGAAACCTTTTTGCTGCAGGTTTTTTTTTTTTTTGTTGTTGTTTTTTTCTTTCTTTGAGAGAACCACAAAAGCCTGCACGGGGTGTTTTATGAGTGGAGATGTAAAACAGTGAGTGAGCACCTGCTTTGGAGCCTCGGGGCTGCTGAGGAAGCAGCATGAGATGCGCTCAGAGCATCTGCCACGGCCTCAGCCCTGATGGAGAGGTGGCTGGTCACATCTCTGTCACTATTTTGGCTATAAAACCAAAGAATTCTCCAATTCAATCTCAAATCAATGCCACAGCTTGTGTTTGTCATCAAACGAACGCAGCCGAGGTTTTCCATGCAGAGTTTGCTGTGGATCTCCCGGATAAATCTGGGAAGGAACATTTTCAACCTTTCAGGACATCCTTTAAGCTTTCCATGCTCCGGGCGGTGCCAGCCCACCCCAGAGGCTCCTTGAGAGCAAAATCCCCTTTTTTCCATCAACCAGGGGGTAACAAAATTGGGGGATTGAACCCTCCTATCCCGGCACAGATTTTGGGGTGGTTCCCTGGGGTTTTGGCCCCTCTCTGGAGAGCTTTGCGGTGTCCCAGCACCCTCAGATGACAGCCCAGGCGGGCGAGYGGCTCCAGCCCGGCGGGAGGAGTTTCACATTCACAAAATCAGCCCCGAGGGCTGGGATTTCATTCTGTGCCTGTTTTTGAGCTGCCAGGCTCGGGAGCAGAGCATTGGTGTCTCCTCTGCCTTTGTCGCTGTGCTCTGTGCTGGGGATCCCCTAAAAACAAACAAGGGAAGGATCATTCCTTAGGGTGAATTTAAAGAGTTTTCCCCCTGCCTAAAAAAAGCTCATTTTTCAATTCCATCCTCCCCCAGCAATCCAAGGATGACGATCTCAGCATCCAATTGCTCAGCTCCGACCTGCTGCAGGAATTCAAGGTAAGAAMCGCGCTCCCTTCGGGGCTCCCTCTGCTTCCCCATCCCGCGGCCGCGGTTTGCTAAGAGGGGAAACCGGCGGGACACGGGGACATTCCCTGCTGTGACACAGGGGTGTGACAGGGGGTGACACGGGGGTGACACGGGTCAAGAATGGGCGTGACACGGGTGTGACAGGGGTGTGACACGGGTGAGGAATGGGGTGGGACACGGGTGTGACACGAGTGTGACACGGGGTGAGGAATGGGTGAGACATAGCTGTGACAGGGGTGTGACTGGGGTGTGACAGGGGTGTGACACGGGCGTGACACGGCTGTTACATGGTTGTGACATGGGTGTGACACGGGTGTGACATAACTGTGACACGGGTATGGCATGTGAGTGACACTGGTGTGACACGGGTGCGATATGAGTGTGACACAGGTGAGACATGGGTGTGACATGGGTGTGATATAGGGGGTGGCACAACTATGACACGGGTGTGACACGGGTGAGGAATGGATGAGACACGGCTGTGCCACGGGTGTGACACGGCTGTGCCATGGCTGTGACACGAGTATGGCATGTGAGTGACACTGGTGTGACACACGTGTGGCATGGCCGTGACATGGGTGTGACACGGGTGTGACACGGCTGTTACAAGGTTGTGACATGGCTGTGACACGGGTGAGACACGGGTATGGCATGTGAGAGACACGGCTGTGACACAGGCGACACAGGTGACACATTGGTGACACACGGCTGGCACGCGGCTCCCCCGGCTGCTGGAGCTGTCCCCAACCCCGTCCCCTTGTCCCGCTGTCCCCAGGGCAGCCTGGGCTGCCAGGCGGTGTCGGAGATGATCTCCTTCTACATGGACGAGGTGCTGCCCAGCGCCGCCAGGAGCAGCGCGCCGCACCAGCACAGCGTGGGCGACCTGGGCAACCTCCTGCTGAGCCTCCGAGCCATGATGAGGCGCTGTGTGAGTGCGGCCGGGACCCGGGAACGGCCCCGGGATGGGCAGAGGGTGCCCGGGAGCAGGGCAGCTCCGGGGTGGGGTGGGATGGAGGAGAGAGGATGCAGAGTGCGCGGGGATGGGGTTTGTGCTCGCCAGGATTTTAGAATTTCATCGGTGATGCTGCAGGAGCCCCAGAGCCGGGCTGGAGGGAGAAAGGAGGGCAGGAGGAGGAGCTCTGCCCCTTTCCCCTGTGCTGGAGCTGCTGAAATCACGCTTGGGGTGGCCGTGAATGCATCAGCGGGGTCAGGCGGGACAAAGCCGGTCCCAGCTGAGCCGCTGTCCCCAAGGCCTGGCACAGGGACACGGGGCTGGGGACGGGCTGAGCCCGGGGCACTCCGAGCTCCTTCCATCAGGGCAACGGCTGGAATCGCTGTCCCACAGCTGGAATTGCTGTTTCAGAGCAGGAATTGCTGTCCCACAGCTGGAATTGCTGTTTCAGAGCTGGAATTGCTGTCACACAGCTGGAATAGCTGTCCCACAGCTGGAATTGCTATTCCAGAGCTGGAATTGCTGTCACACAGCTGGAATAGCTGTCCCACAGCTGGAATTGCTATTCCAGAGCTGGAATCGCTGTTCCATAGCTGGAATCGCTGTCCCACAGCTGGAATTGCTGTTTCAGAGCTGGAATTGCTGTCCCACAGCTGGAATTGCTATCACACAGCTGGAATTGCTATTCCAGAGCTGGAATCCCTGTCCCACAGCTGGAATCGCTGTCCCACAGCTGAAATTGCTATTCCAGAGCTGGAATCCCTGTCCCACAGCTGGAATTGCTATTCCAGAGCTGGAATTGCTGTTCCATAGCTGGAATAGCTGTCCCACAGCTCGAATTGCTGTCACACAGCTGGAATCGCTGTTCCACAGCTGGAACTGCTGTCCCACAGCTGGAATTGCTATTCCATAGCTGGAATCGCTGTCACACAGCTGGAATTGTTGTCCCACAGCTGGAATTGCTATTCCACAGCTGGAATCGCTGTCCCACAGCTGAAACTGCTATTTCAGAGCTGGAATCGCTGTCCCACAGCTGGAATTGTTATTCCAGAGCTGGAATCGCTGTCCCACAGCTGGAATTGCTGTCTCAGAGTCCCCTCGGCCACCCAGGGGAGGGGAAAGGGGTGGAGTAGCAGTGACAAAGGGACAGGAGGAGGGGACAGCCACCACCAGGCACCTGGGGAGGGAGGAGCCCCTGGGCTGAGGGTGACAYTCGTGTCCCTTTGCAGCACAGATTCTTCACGTGCGAGGAGAGGAGCAGGAGCATGAAACACATCAAGGAAACCTTCACCAAGGTARGGCCACGCTCAGGGGCTGGGCAGGGCATGGGGTGGGAGGAACCCTCGGCCAAGGCAGGGCTGAGATCTGCCAGCTGCGGCTTAGGGTGGAGGACAGAACCCTAAAAAGTCATAAATCCCATTAATACCTGCAGCAGAGGAATCCCAAAAAGTCTTTAATCCCATATATCCCTGAAGCAGAGGAATCCGGAGAACAGAGCCCCAAAAAGTCATTAATCCCATAAAACCTGCAGCAGAGGGATCCAGACAACAAAGCCCCAAAAAGTCTTGAATTCTGTAAATCCCTACAGCAGAGGAATCCCGAAAAGTCTTTAATCCCATAAATACTTGCAGCAGAGAAACAGCAGAGCAGAGAAAAGAATCCTAAAAAGTCTTCAATTACATAAATCCCTGCAGCAGAAGAATCCAGAGAACAGAACCCTAAAAAGGCTTTAATCCCATAAATCCCTGCATCAGAGGAATCCCAAAAAGTCTTTAATCCCATAAATCCCTGCAGCAGAGAAATCTGGAGAACAGAACCCTAAAAAGTATTTAATCTTGTAAATCCCTGCAGCAGAGGGATCCAGAGAACAGGGCCCCAAAAAGTCTTTAATCCCATAAATACCTGCAGCAGATGGATCCAGACAACAAAGCCCCAAAAAGTCTTGAATTCTGTAAATCCCTGCAACAGAGGAATCCCGAAAAGTCTTTAATCCCATAAATACCTGCAGCAGAGAAACAGCAGAGCAGAGAAAAGAACCGTAAAAAGTCCTTAATCCCATAAATCCCTGCAGCAGAGGGATCCAGAGAACAGAACCCTAAAAAGTCTTTATTCCCATAAATCCCTGCAGCAGAGGG